CAGCTTTATCTCTATATCTATATATATATATATATATAAATATATAATTACAGATCCGGATCCAGTCTTAATACAGTTTGTCAAATATGTGATTTCTTTTTTCTTTTTCCTGAATTAAAAGAAAAATCAGAGGAACAATTGAAAAACCAAGCTATGCCTGTAAGAGATTCTAATTTTAGTTTTATGGTTTACAAATGCAGAGGGTACAAGCAAGTAAGGAAGTAATTATATATTTATGAAACATAACAAAAACATACAAAATTAAGTGTCTCAGGAGAAAATATTTAAAAACCTCAAAAAATAGAGGTTGTGGGAATATTTTCCCCCCAATTCTAAAAACATATAATCAATACAGTCGTAACCTTTAGAAATATTTAGCATGACAAGTAGAACAGATTCATTATTATTTAGTGAGCTGAAAATATGGTTTAGTAATTGTTTGCTTAACATTACGTCCTGGCGAAAAAACAAATTGATTTGTTTGAAAAAAGTTATTATTGTTGAGAAATGAAAAAATTCGTTTATGCAGAACTTTTTCTAATATTTTAGAAAATACATTGATTATTCCAATTGGACGAAAATTGGATAAGTCGTCTTTTTTATTTTGTTTTACAAATAGGAATAGTTCTGGACATTTTCCAACAGTTAGGGAATACCCCGGTCTTAAGGCTTAAATTATAATTGTAAGATAAAACAGGGGCTATTTCTGTTGATATGTTTTTAAGCAATTTTCCTGAAACTCAATCTATACCCTTAGAGGTTTTATTTTCAAATCTTTCTAATTCCTTAATTTTACTGGATCAGTTGGAAAATAAGCAAAAGAATGAATGAAGGAGGGTGGAAGGAATTCTGAAAAATCTTTATCTATCTTAGGAATAGCTTCTGCTTTAGATTGGCCAATAGATGAAGAGTATTTATTGAACTCATTATCTCATAAAAGCTTGATTTACTTGATTTGAGATAATTAAGTTTTCCTTCTTAATGGAATCATATTTCCATTGAACTCTGATTAGGCTTGTGTCTCATCCCTGTATTTTTTTTTATGTTTCTCACATCTTCTTAGGATTTCGTTTTTGGCAACCTTTTAATTTACTAAAGCGTGCTTACGTTCCGAATCAATAATGATTTTTCTGCAGGTAGTTTACTATCTAACATTTCAGGAAGGATCAATAATATACCAAAACATATTTTTAAGTGTTTTATAATTTTAAAAACATCAAAAGTTATTTTCTGAATCCGCTTTTTCTATAAAAATAAAGAATGATATTTCTTCATATGTCATAGGAATAAAAATAAAAATTTCATATAGTTTATTTAGTAAAAATCATTATAAAAAACAGTTATTTGATTTGCAATATTTATTATTGCTTTTCTTGTTTATGACCATTTGCATGTTTTAGGAGAAACCCAAAAGAAATTCTGATATAATCTTTTTACACCCTGTAAACTGTATATTCGGATATTATATAATCTTTTTACACCCTGTAAACTGTATATTCGGATATTATATAATCTTTTTACCCCCTGTAAACTGTATATTCGGATATTATATAACCTTTTTACACCCTGTAAACTGTATATTCGGATATTATATAACCTTTTTACACCCTGTAAACTGTATATTCGGATATTATATAATCTTTTTACACCCTGTAAACTGTATATTCACAAGCTGAGGTCAATCACATGCCAGACCAATTTCTATAATATGATTGTCAAGAATCAAGCCAAAAGGAGAACATAATACTATCTTAGAAGAGAATAAATGTCAGAAATAAAATCTTTTCTTACTAAATATGTAACTGTTCAATACATAAAAGAATTGACGAGACAGAAAAGAAAACTCTAATGATCTCTATTCATAAAATAATAGAAATTCTTCTTTATCTCTTCAAGCCACACTTGCATCGCTTCAAAACTAAAGAACCTTGTAACGAAGGGTTAAAATTAACGAACTGTTCGTTTTGAAATAAAAAAAAAACGAAAAACGAAATGATAAAATTAAAAAACTATAATTTTTGTAAAATGTTTTCTTCAGTAAAACTGATTGTTTGAACATACGACCGTTGAATAAAAGTTTAGTTTTCTTTGAAAGTGAAAACGAGTCATCCCTTCAATTAAACTCGACTCTCAAGAATTTTCTGGAGATTTTCTGATCTATCAATAAATTCAATTCTTTTCCAAATTAGGCATGAAAGGAAATGATAAATTGAAGGCAAATTGAATATTTAAATAATAAGTATTTCATTTTCATGCATATTTTTTTATTGCATAACATCGAGATTAAAATGTAAGTTTCAGATGAAAAATCATTATTTCAGAATCATCATTGTTTTAACGCAAGAAATATATAGTTTCTTGCTTTAACACACTTGTATGCCGATTCTATTAGCGCCTGATCCAATCAGGGTTCAGTCATGTGTTTGTTGTCAATTCTGAACCAATAGAAATAGTATGGTGGTAAATGTAATATTTATCTTTCTATCTATCTCTTTATCCAATTAGAGATATGAATCCTTTAATCGGCGCTATCAGTAAATGGAAATATTTACTTCTACTGAAACTACAGTGTTAACTTATCCCTATTCAGGCTGACGTCTGGTTTACCCAAAATGGTCTGGAGGGGGGTGGGGGTCCCAAGCACCCCCCCCCCTCTATTTCCTTATTGTGATAAAAATCTCTAACATTTTATACATTTTAGAAAGCCCTTGGACTATACTTTAATAATCTGCAAAAAATTGCAAGTTATTAAGCAAAAAATGTGCAAAAAACAAAAAATACTTGAAATATGATAAATTATACATTTTGAAAAGCCCTTACAACGGCGAATTCAAAGCAAAAATATTTGCAAAATTTTCAAAAACAAATTTGTATTCAAGGAAAACAGTAAATGTGCAAATTCTCTTTTAAGGCATCTGTGCAAAGATTTATGCAAAACTTCTTCGCAAAAATTGTTTAATCTGCTTCCTTTTATTCAAGGCTTTCCAAATAGCTGTAAAAACTCGAAATCCAATGACCGGAAGTAGGTCTAAATAAAGATTTAGTCGGGTAAAGGTAAAATAAGGCCTTCAGGCAGTTTGCCTGAGGATTCCGGCAGTTGGTATAAAAGCGCCGCTTTGAGCCTAAAGTGAGGGGATCGAGTTAATTAGAAAAGTCAAAAAATGTGAAACCTTAGACCAATAGGTTTAAGTTTAGAAGTAACCACAGAATAGAAGCAACCCCAGAATTGGTTTAAGTTTAGAAGCTACCCTAAAATAGGTTTAAGTTTAGACGCTACCCCAGAATAGGTTTAAGTTTAGAAGCTACCCCAGAATTTTTTTAAGTTTAGAAGCTACCCTAGAATATTTTTAAGTTTAGAAGCTACCCTAAAATAGGTTTAAGTTTAGAAGCTACCCCAGAATAGGTTTAAGTTTAGAAGCTATCCCAGAAATGTTCAAGTTTAGAAGCTACCCCAGAAAGCTACCCCAGAATTTTTTTAAGTTTAGAAGCTACCCTAGAATAGTTTTAAATTTAGAAACTTAAACCCTGTAATATTTGTACGGTTCACCATCATATTTTGACTTTCAGGCCCCCGAGGCTATGTCTATCAACCCTCCCATCCTCCAGCTATTTATTAAAGTTTTTGAAAAATGGAAATGTGAACAATATCAAAATTAAATAAAAGATATATATTTAAGGGGTTTTTTTTGTACTTTTAAAATTTAATTTCACTTTGCAATAATTCTTAATTTCGTCAATTTATTTTGATCAGTTTTATGAAATTCTTTCTTAATGAACTTTTTCCAAAGCACATATATCTGTTTTATGTTTGGTTTTATAGCTGTAATACATAGAAACAAATGTATATTAGAATATGGAAGAAAAAGATTGCTATGACAAGAATAACTACCAAGAGGCTCCAACTTAAGCCGATGATACTCAAGTTAAGTTCAGATTTCCGGACTTAAATATTCATGTTGATATTAAACATGAAGTAATTCTAATTTTTGCAAATCAGATATTTATTTGACAATTTATATGCAGAGTGCTCAGGGTTTCCGACATTTCTTCTTTTCGCAACATTGCATAAAGTTTTGCGCGTATCAGTTACTTATGCCGATAATGAAGGAACAATTAGGGTTCTTAATCGTTTTTGAACACGATTGTTAAACGATCGTTTTCTCTTTCGGTTTTCGATCGTTTTAAAAACGATTGTTATGTTTTAGAAAAAAATCATTGTTTTTTAAAAGCGACCCAAAGCGAAGGGCCGTCGTTAACGATCGTTAACGAAGGGTTGTCCTTAACAATCGTTAAATAAACGATCGATTGCAGGGTTGTCGTTAACGATAGTTAACGAGGAACTTTTAAAAAACGGTCGTTTTTGAAAAAAACGATCGTTTAAAAAAATTACATGCAACTCTATCAAATTTTGTCTTATGCATGAAGTTAAAAAATTGTGGGGGAGCTAAAACTTTTCTTTAAAATTACTCAATGATGATGATGTTTTAAAAGATGTACGTACGCTGTACGCAATTGATAAACCGCAACGACATCATATTTAAAAAATTACAATTCAATTATTCATTTAGCTTATGTCATCCCCAAGGGTACCCATGCGTTTCGTCACTAAAATTCAGTCCATTTGATTCAGTCGTTTGGCCAGCCATAGCAAACATATAAATGAACATAGAGCTTTATTATATAGATTACAATTGTACTC